TCCCCTTCCACTTATTGGCCATTGACAGTATTAAAAGGAAATTTCTCAATTTTTTTTTTTTTTAAGTAGACTCCATGCCCTGCGTGGAGCCCAGTGTGGGGTTTGAACTCACAACCCTCAGATCAAGACCTGAGCTGAGATCAAGAGTCAGATGCTGGGGGGCACCTGGGTGGCTCAGTTGGTTGGGCGACTGCCTTTGGCTCAGGTCATGATCCTGGAGTCCCGGGATTGAGTCCTGTGTCGTGTCGGGCTCCCTGCTCAGCGGGGAGTCTGCTTCTCCCTCTGACCCTCCCCCTCTCATGCTCTCTCTCTGTCTCATTCTTTCTCTCTCAAATAAATAAATAAAATCTTTAAAAAAAAAAAAAAGTCAGATGCTTACCCAACTGAGCCACCCAGGCACCCCTTTCAATAGTTTTTAAATTGCATTTTCTGTGATTTGTTTCCTTTAGATTCCAAACATTATAGGTAAAACTAGATTGAATGTGGCCAATGCAAAGTCTAAATCTTCAGGCACAAAAATCTAACGTTCTAATACTTTCAGAAGATGAACCCAATTTCCAAATGAAAGCTGCCTCCAGAATATGTTACATGTGTTCTGGATAGAATTTGTTTTGGCATGTGCTCTGTAGAAATTCGTGTAAAATTCCACTGAACTAAAAGTAAATTGCCCACACAGGGAAAAATATTTTTTGAAAGCTTCAAACAAATTCTAGGGGATGACAGTCCTTGGAAGAAGAACAGTAAACAAAGTATCAAGCAATGATACATGAATTAGAAATTGTAGTTCTGGGTAATGTACCTCAATCGAAGAGACTACCTGCCTTTAATTTGGTTGGTTGTGGTTAACATAGTTGATCTGGGGTCCTATTTAGATACAACCTCAAATACCAAAGTTAAATCTCTTTATCCACAGATTTTATTGTGAAAGAAATGAAATACATTTTTCTTCAAAGTATTAAAGAACCAAAATTATAGTTATTAATGAAGTCCTAGAATGTGAAAATGTTTTCCTCTTTGAACTATATCTAAATCTATACCTTCTGGTCGTGAAACATTTATATTTTGGTCCCAAAAGCATCCATACAAATGAGAAAAAGTTTTCCTGAAACATCCTTCATTTGTATGACCCCCTAAAGGCCAAATTCACTAACTGTATAGTGGGTAAATAATTGCTTTGGGGGCACCTTTGTGGCTCAGTCAGTTAAGCATCTTCATCTGACTCTTGATTTCAGCTCAGGTCATGATCTCAGGGTCGTGAGATCGAGCCCTGCGTTGGGCTCAGCGCTCGGCAGGAGTCTGCTTGAGATCCTCTCTCCCTCTCCCTCTGCCCCTCCCCCACCCCCCTCTGTCAAATAAGTAAATAAATCTTTAGGAAAAAAAATCAATTACTTTGTCTACTGAATCACCTACTGCACAGAATCCAAGGACAATATTTTCGCATGCTTCTCTCAAACTTGGTATCGGAACATTTTAAACATATGCAAACTCTCACATTGCCTAATTCTGTCTCACCCAACTATGACATAGATAAAAGGTAATCACTTTTATTAATTTTCCTATAAATGAAAAAGACCGAGAAGTTGCAGATCATGCATAATTTTTTTTTTTTAGCTGGCTAGGAGCATTTACATTATCCAAAGTTGAGGAATGGTTAATGGAAATGTCCCTCTATGTTAGAACTTAAAGGCCTTTTCTTGGCTTTGTCTTTCAAGATCTCATCTCATCTGATCCTCCATCCCCATTCCATTTTACAGACTTTAGTCTTGTGACTTTCCATCCTTCAGGACCCAGCTTAGGCATCTCCTCCAGGAAGCCTTTCTTGATTACCCAAAGCACCATAAATTTCAAAGTACCTACTGCTTATGCCACTAACGTATGGCTGGGTGGCTTTGCTTGGGTAACATCCACGCTTTCCATTGACCACTTATCACAGGCGCTGCTCAAGCACTGAATGATGAATTGGACTAAATGTCCTGAGAACTTGATTATCAATGTTTTTACTTCTATTCCTAGTAGACCATGATTCTTTCCACACAGTTACAATCATGTTGTTTATCTTCTTTACATCCCTACACTGGCCATTTAATAACATTTGTTGATTATTTACATAAAGGTTAGGGTTATGGTTATTTTATTTGTTACGGTTATACTGGTGGATGATAAAAATGGTCACATCCATTTGTGTCGAAGGAAAGATCGCCCCTGGATTGAGAAATTGTTTCTAAGTTATCTAAATAAGAGGCCTATTTCCGAGATTGGAAATGGAAACCAGGCATCCAGTAAGATGGGACTGGGGCACTCTTAATTGTAATGGTGGCAGGGCCAAGAAGACAGCCTCCCTGGTGGTGGTGGTCAATGGTGTTATCAGTGACAATCAGGGAGTCAGAAGAAAGGAATGCTGGGAGATGCTGTTTGAGCCACAGGGTAGCTTGCCCAAAAGCCTGGACCTAGGACAGGATTTGTGATCCCTGAGTTCAAGCTAACTCATGAGAAGATCAGAATTTGGCATCCTGTAAGCTTTTTTTAAAAAAATGCTTTTGAAACAGAGGATCACAGGAGAGAGGAAAAAATGAAACAAGACGAAATCAGAAAGGGAGACAAACCATAAGAGACTCTTAATCATAGGAAACAAACTGAGGGTTGCTGGAAGGGAGGTGGGTGTGGGGATGGGGTAACTGGGTGATGGGCATTAAGGAGGGCACGTGATGTGATGAGCAATGGGTGTTATAAAAGACTGATGAATCACTGACATCTACCTCTGAAACCAATAATACATTAAATGTTAATTGAATTGAAATATTTAAAAAATGTTCGAAATTTTTCTAAAAATGCTTTTGACATTTCCCAAATTCCCCTTTCAAATTTCCCTTTTGTTTTCTACACATATTAGGTAGAGTTGTTTTTGAAAATCCAGTCTGTCAACTCCTTTAAGGGAAATGAATGATAGGTTTTTGCCTTTGCCTGAGGAAGCACAGGGGCCAGAAGAACATGGTGAAGCAACACGCAACCGAGTTAAAGACACCTTGCGGAATAGGAAAATCTGGAGGAAGGGTGGGGGCCCCCTGCTCGGTTCCAAACCCGGGAAGGTTCAGACTGCATTTTATCAAGATTGGCAGCATTTTAAAATTTTGACGAACGTTGTGTTACTTGCAATACCTTCCATTTCTCACACAAAAACACAAAAGTATTATTGCACAAAAATCCTAAGTATATTACTTGCAAAAATGTGAAGAATACATGCTACATATTCTCTACAGCACAGAGCAACACATGATCAGGTAAAGATTTATGAAGATTTGTTCATTTATGAACAATAAGCCTTTTTCCCCTTGACAGTATAAATAAGGTCTGTTTCCCCAATGACTTTGATACAAAAGGCAAACACTGCTCTTCCATCCTAAAAGTAATGTTGAAGTTCATCTAAGAGATTGCCAGATAGTACTTTGGCATAGTTACTCAAGATACACTTTTCTATTTATTTTTTTATTTTTATTTATTTTTATTTTTTTTAAGGATACACTTTTTTAATGACAAAATTTGTCTTAGGTATTATGAAAAAGCTTTTATGTTGCATTAGCAACTTTCAAAACAATGTAGGTAACAAATTATTTTAGAAGCTATCTAGAAATTTCCTATTCCCAATAATGTAAGATATTTCAATACCGATTAAATTCAAATAAATCACATACTTAGACATTATATACTTATTAGCTACATAAATTTATATTATGAATTATGTGCATAAAAAATTTAAGGATACATTCTTAATCTTAAATACAAATGCACAAGATGAATGTATTATTAACATTTCAGTGCTTCCCATCTTAAAATTTGTACAATACTCCACTGGAAGCAGTAGCATGATGGTACAATTCTTAGGTGAAGTTTGCTGAAACGTATTGAGATAGTCATATCATTTTTAGAACCCCTGGTTTTGAGGTTAGACAAACTGAGTGAATCTGAAAAGTCTGGATCAAGTTTCTCATGTCTAGCTTAAAGATTACTGATAAAGATTTACTGGAAAGCATTGATTTTTTTTTTTTAAGTAGGCTCTGTGCCCATCGTGGGGCCCAACTCGGGGCTCAAACTCATGACCAGGCAATCAAGACCTGAGCCAAGATCAAGAATCAGATGCCCAAACAACTGAGCCACCCGGGCACCCCTGGATAGCATTGATTTTTAAAAATATAACCTCAGTGTGAAATTTGGGCTCTTTTCCCTGTAAATCTAAGGAACAGAGTTTTTCCTTCCAGAGGAAGATAAATTGTTCATTTTCTTAGAAACTTCACTCAATATATATCTTAAAGGAGGCAGAAATTTTGTAAATTTCCTATGTCTAGAAAATGGGGTCCTTCAGTCAACTGAATAGGCTCAAAACTAGAACATGTTAACTAAAAAGTGCTTAACTTCGAAATTACAAAAGTAGAAGATATCTGCAAAATACATTCCATACAGGAAACGCCAATCAGATACGATTATTTTTTTGACGGGCATAAAATGTACTTACGGAACCAAGTGTCAGTGTCACAATAAATTATTATATAAAGTATTTTGAGAAAAAAAATTCGGTATTCAATCTTCTCGATTGAGCTCTATGTAAATAGAAATTTACTCTAAGAACTACTTTTGGTATAAAAGTTAAGCTGACCGAAAAGTGTTTGGGGGGATAACCTGAGATTTTAGATATGAAATGTAAATGATCAAAACAGGTTCTTTAAATCAATCGGCATTAAAATATCAGCATAGAAATCAGAATTACTGCAAAATGCCATGATGTCACTGTTACCAGTATTAGCCAAAGAATTAGAGGAGTAAAAATATTAGAGAAGTGAGACTTTCAAGCCAGAATGGGGGAAAAAAAAGGTTTGGATAAAATTTTAAGTATTCCTAGATAATGAAACAACAGAGTCTATGCAAGAGTCCTTCTCCAAAATGAAGCACATAACTGATAAATAGACTCTCTTATTGGCAAGGCAATTCACTGCATTAAAAAAAAGAAGAAAGAAAGAAAAAGAAAACTGTCATTGTCAGGGAGTCCTTGGCTTCTCATTTCTTGGGGGGCCTTTCAAGCACACTGGCCTCGTTTACATGAAGGAAGGCAAAAGCCGACTTGAATGTGCCATCGCCACTCTGTTGTGAAAAGCAAAGGAAGGTGGCCCACAGAAAACCACAGAGTCCAGTGTAAGCTGTCCTCCAGTGAACAGGAACCAGGCCGAAGTTGGTCAGCTGTAACAGAAAGAGAGAGTGCGCTAGGGTTCCACGCCAACCACAGCCATCAATTAGCATTCTGAGTAGTTAGAAACTCACCTGCACAAAAGGCCAGTACATCAGACCGCTCTGGAATACAGAAAAACTCGATTAGAATGCCTTTTATTTTTTTTTAAGATTTTATTTATTTATTTGACAGACACAGCGAGAGAGGGAACACAAGCAGGGGGAGAGCGAGAGGGAGAAGCAGGCTTCCCGCGGAGCTGGGAGCCCGACGCAGGGCTCGATCCCAGGAACCTGAGATCATGACCTGAGCTGAGGCAGTCGCTTAACCAACTGAGCCACCCAGGAGCCCCTAGAATGCCTTTTAATCACACACACAGAAACAATCCCAAAGATTAAGAAATACCAGGCAGATAGAATGCAGAGGTGGGACTGTATTTCAGACTAAGCTGATTAAATCAGACTCCTTAAAGTCTCTCCAAGAGAAGAGGGTGGGAGCAGTGCAAGGAGCTTTGAGGTGCGAGGCGATTATAGTAGTCATATTACAGGTCCGGAAGGAAAGGGCTACCAGAATCAGCATCATTTCTGTTAAACAGCTGCTTTCAAAATAACAGCATCTATGTGTGCACTGTGGTTTTCCTGTTAGCCCAAGCAAAAGCTACGGGAATATATTTTAAAAGGATCATCAGTAAAGTTTTAAATTTATCATTCTTCGTGGAATGATTTGTTAATAATATGTTCTGCTGGGGGTGTCCAGGTGGCTCATCAGTTAACTGCCTTTGGCTCCAGTCATGATCCCAGGGTTCTGGGATCAAGCCCTGCATGGTTGTAGGGCTCCCTGCTCGGCAGGGAGTCTGCTTCTCCCTCTCCCTCTGCCCCTCCCCCCTCCCCGCTTGTTTCCCCCCCTCAAATAAATAAATAAAATCTTTTTTTTTAAAAAGATTTTATTTATTTATTTGAGAGAGAAAGAGAATGAGAGATAGAAAGCACGAGAGGGAAGAGGGTCAGAGGGAGAAGCAGACTCCCTGCTGAACAGGAAGCCCGATGTGGGACTCGATCCCGGGACTCCAGGATCATGACCTGAGCGGAAGGCAGTCGCTTAACCAACTGAGCCACCCAGGCGCCCAATAAATAAAATCTTTTTAAAAATAATAATATCTTCTACTATTTCAAGCAATGAGCCAAAGGTGACTCTAATTTTATCTAAAATGTTTGATTTTTTTTATTAAAAAAAGATTTAAGGCAAATAATATATTCTATTTCTTGCCATAGAATACGTTTAGCTGACATTCTTATGGATTACAAAATGCCCCCAAAAAAGGGAATGCTTTGTTGTTGTTGTTGTTGTTTGGGGGAGGGAGAACAGAACTGTATTCTTCAAAAATATTAGTGTTGGGGCACCTGGGTGGCTCAGTTGGTTAAGGGACTGCCTTTGGCTCAGGTCATGATCCTGAGTCCCAGGATCAAGTCCCACATCGGGCTCCCTGCTTAGCCGGGAGTCTGCTTCTCCCTCTGGCCCTCCCCCTCTCATTCTCTCTCTGTCATGCTCTCTCTCTCAAACATAAATAAAATTTTTAAAAAAATATTTAAATAAAAAAATATTAGTGTTGTAATAGGTAAAAGAAGGCTGAGAAAAAGTTCCCAATTAATGGAGACTAAAGAGACATGGCAATTAAATGCACTACCTGACCCTAGACTGGATCCTGTACTAAAAGGAACAGAAATGCTATAAAGACCATCAGAGAGTGGATTGACAAACATGGCAGAAGGATGGTGGATGAGCTGAAAGGCTCATTACCATTGTTAAATGTATTGAAGTTGCTAACTCTGCTGTAGTTACATAAAATAACTTATTTATCCTTAGAAAATAGACACTTAAGTATCTACGGGTAAAGGGTAATTGTGCAACTTACTCTCAAATGCTTCAAAGAAACAGACAAAGATGGATGGATATAGACAGATCAAGTCAGGAAATAATAAAACGGGCAAAATATTAACTATGGGTGACTATGGGTAAAGGGTATTCTTTTAATTATTCTTGTTACTTTTCCGTCAGTTTGAAATTATTTCCAAATTAAAGTTTTCAAAAACTATAAAAGACATGAATGTAATTATCAGATAAATTTCTAAGAGGTAACATACCTGAGCCCCCCTACTGGGGAAAGAGCTGGTGGAAAGAGACAGAAATTGCATGCCTTCTGCACAAAAACAAACCAATCAAAAACTCAAATAGTACCTACACAACAACAAATAAACTAGGCATGTCCTTTCTACCTTCATCCAAAGAAGTTGGATTGGGGGGGCGGGGCAGGGAACTGAAGGACCCCATTTTCTAGACATAGGAAATTTACAAAATTTCTGGCTTCTTAAAAACATATATTGAGTGAAGTTTCTAAGGAAAAAAAAAGCTATTCTACTCTTACAAATCCTTTGGGCTACAAGAAAGCCTTTTGTGACAGATTCTTTTTGGCTGCTTCTTGTTTTTGGACCCCTACCATTTGTGCTCTTGGTTTCATTGATGAAGTTGACTCAAGAACCTGGTTTTAACCCAGTTTATTCCATATCTAATATCCCTAGCTCTGGGCTCTCCTCTGTGCACTTGGAAATCTCCCTTTGGATCTTCTATTTTTTTTTTAAGATTTTATTTATTTATTTGAGAGAAAAAGAGAGCAAGAGAGAGCACAAGAAGGGGGGAGGGGCAGAGGGAAAGGGATAAGCAGACTCTCTGCTGAGCAGGGAGCCCAATGCCAGGCTCGATCCCAGGACCCTGGGATCATGACCCAAGCCAAAGGTAGATACTTAACCGACTGAACCACCCAGGTTCCCCTCCCTTTGGATATTCTAAAGGTTTCTAGAATCCAACATTTCTCAAACTGAACTCATCTTTTTTTTTCCAATTGGCTCGCTATGTCGTATCTCAAGTGACGGGCCACCACTCATGCAGTTACTCAAATCAGAAACCTGTGGGTTATCCTAGATGTGTCCTTGCCCATTACCCCGATCACCAATCATTCACCCAGAGCTACCAATTCTACCTCCTAAATAGCTCTCCAATCATTCCTATTCCCATTCCCTGTTTCTTATGTGAACCTGGTTACAATAACTCTCCAGCTGGTTTCTCCTGGCACTATTACTGACGTTCAGGATCCTTGGCATGCGTTCAACACCCAACAAAGGTGGCCTGTGTGTCTTCATTAAGGGAGGAGAATATGAAGCATCTGCAAGTCCCTGCTTAAAGCCCGTTTCTTCCCCAATTCTGCTCACGTGCTCTTTTTTTAAATGTTAAATGTCTACACCTCCATAGGATCCATGACATAATGGGAAAACTTATTCCTTTTTCCAAAATAAAGTAGACGAAAATTACATTTGGATGTCGCAACAGGCTCACAATTTCTGCCCCAAGAGAAGTAACAAGTTCTGAATACTCTTTTCCCTTAAAAGGAAGAAGGACGGTCCCTAGCATGTGGCTTCCACACTCCCTATTATCTGCCTCCAACCATCAAGTGGGCAATGCTGGTTCTGGGGCTCAGTGTCACTCAATAGAAAATGCCAGAAACAGTACAGGCAATAGCCGGCGTGGCTTGGCACTGCTTCTAATAGGGAATTAAGTACATGTGAAGCCCAAGGCCAGTCTGTGTATATTCGGCAATCCTGAAAAGTCACTTCATTGGGATTAGTAAAATCAAGCATCCTCTAGGCCAGAAATAGAAAGCACCCCTGATTTTGCCAGGCTTTATGGATACTGCTCAATAAATCTTCATTGAATAAGCTAACAAATATTTGTTGGACTGGGGTGTGTATATTTGCATTGAGCAAACAGTACAACAGGTGACTTACTTTAAGCCTGGACATAATCTTGGGAAATATTATCCTTCACAAGGACTCAGCAGAATGTAACACCTGGAAACATTGGCTCCAGAGCGATTCCATTCATCACTCAACATTCTACTTTTCCTATTTTGCAATAACCTCTTTGGCTCCAAAATTCACTAAATAAACTGTAATCACTAATAAGAGTAAATTTAAAAAAACAGGAATCATTGCAAACATTGACTAAAACTCAGACACTCATGTATAGACGCTCCTAACGTATAGACGCTCTTAAAGCTGCTTCTCATTTCTCTTTCGAAACAAATTTAAGATCTCTCCGTCAAAATACTATAGCCTTGGGGTGCCTGGGTGGCTCAGTCGCTAAGTGGCTACCTTCAGCTCAGGTCGTGGTCCCAGGGTCCTGGGATCAAGCCCCGCATCGGGCTCCCTGCTCAGCCGGAAGCCTGCTTCTCCCTCTCCCACTCCCCCTGCTTGTGTTCCCTCTCTCGCTGTGTCTCTCTCTGTCAAATAAATAAATAAAATCTTTAAAAAAAAATACTATACCTTGTGCCAACCAACTGGAGCCCTAACCTAAGAATAGTTTTCTTAAAATGTATTTAATGTTACAAATATACTAAAAGATCTTGGTTACCTTTTCAAAAGTCTGTCTTACCTTGTATGTATTCCAAAATTTCTGTTTCAGGTCCAAAAATATGTCATCCTTTTCCTGGAGAATACTCATACCTATTTGTAAAAACACACACCACAGGAATTTTGCAAGATTCAGTAGGAAGAAAACTGTATAACAGTTCAAGTTTTCTCTTCTAATATGCAGAGTACCCACCAGTAACTCTCGTTCATTATGTCCCTTCAAACCTAACAGTGAAAACATGACTTCCATTCTAAAACTAGGTAAATCTTTTTTAAAAATAAATAGAATTTAAAAAAAACTAGATAAATCTTAAAGGAATGATAAATATGAAGTGAAAATAACAGTATAAAAGTGATAGCAGAAAGATATGTATATACAATAAATTGTATTATATATATATAAATTGTAAGAGAATTCACAGCGTTCAGATAGCAGGACAATCAATGACTTTTCTTCTCTGCCTTCCAAACTTTTTGTAAAATGTTTAAAAATCTTAAAAATTTAGGGGTGCCTGGATGGCTCAGCTGGTTAAGCATCTGCCTTCAGCTCAGATCATGATCCAGCGTCCTGGGATCGAGTCCCACCACATCTGGGCTCCCCACTCAGTGGGGAGTCTGCTTCTCCCTCTCCCTCTGCCCCTCCCCCTGGCCTGTGCTCTAGCTCGAACTCGCTCTCTCTCAAATGAATAAATAAAATCTTTAAATAACTAAATAAATAAAATTTTAAAAAATTTAATTTCCTTCTTTTTAAAAAGAAAAAGGCTGATGGACCCTGGGTATTCTGGCAAATACCAAGTTCCCATCAGCATTCTAATCAGAATTATTCCAATCAGAATTTGAAAGCAGAACACCAATTCAGGCTTTCTAAAAACACTCTGAAAACTTTGTATGTTCACCAACCCTGAAAGGAAATTCAGGGAGCAGAGACAAAATCCTCCTATTTTAGGAAGGAGTAAAAATAAAAGGGCTTTAAAAAAGTCTCCTTCAAATCCGATTAGGAGGAAGGGGGAGTAAGAGGGTTTTTTAGTCAGTTGCAAGGGATTCTTAGAACAGGATTTACAAGAATACCCAGGCGCATATTGGTAATTTCGGGTGCCACTTACCAAGCACTAATTAAGCGCTAAGCACTTTATGTGCCTTATTTCATTGGACACCCGAGTGCCCCGCCCCCCCCAACCCAAACAATCCCGAGGTTGGGAGTTACAGAGGCGGAAATGAGGGAGGTTAATATCGGACCAAGTCCAACCGAGGTGTGGATTCCGAGCCAGACCTCTCCATCATAATCTGAGCTCCCCAAGGTGTCCCCAGCACAACGGATCATCTGATATATGCAATTTCTAAGTTGGAAATGCGTTGAACAAACATCCAACCCAACCCGCCCCCCTTCATTTTCACACGGGGAGAGGGAAATTGGGCCAGAAATCTAAAAAGCAAAACAAAGCAGCCATCTGGGTCGGAATCCATGTCAGGAGCCTCAGGCTTAAATCACAGGCCCCCTGGGGGCCCCGTTTCTGCAGCAGCCTCTTTCTGGCTTCAGACAAAAGGACAACACTCAAGATTAAGAACCTGGCATGGGTTATGTTGTCTTCAGTCGAGTCACTGAACCTCCTGTGAGACTCAGTTTCGTTATCTGTAACACGGGAATAACAAAGAGGATCTGCCTCACTGGGTTGTTGGAGGAGTAAATGGAAACACGGTCCCCAGAGGCCCAGCCCCTAGGTCCTAACCCCTTCACCAGGGTTCAAGGCAATTGCCTTAATGGACCTGAGGAGCCCCTTTGCAGATGTGGCCTGGAAGTCACACCTTGGGGCCAGGCACCCGGCAGCCCACTCCCCAGGTCCTTTATTTCCCTGACCCCACTGGCCCTGCAGTTGGCTGAGGCTACAACAGGCAACCAGGTCCTTCATGCCTCCTGTGGGCTTTGTGAGGAAAGGAACCGGATCTGGCCTTCCAAAATAAGATCCAGAGGGCAGCTAGGTTCAAGGCGCTGACGTGACCCCCCTGACCTGGTTTAGAAGGCACCGGCAGCCACTGAAAAAAAGACCTTCTTGGGTCTTCTCTAGACCTTCTCTATCCCTAAATGCCGGGCCCAGGACCCCTGGATTTTCTTGGGGAATTGGTGACGGTCCCCCACCCTTTCTCCCTCACAGGCTATGGAAACTGCTAGGAGGATGGAGGCTACAGAGTCCCTCCCATTGTTTTTGGTATTTAAGGCCCTAAGGAAGATTCCTAAAGTCCGGCCTTAAGGGCCGATTTTCTGAGGAGGGACCTCCCACGACTTTCACAGGCAGAGTTCTCCAAGGCAGCGTCCAAGGTCCACTCACATTTTCTTGGCTTTTCACAGAGGGACGGGAACCCCAAAGGAAAATCTCATTACCGAAGCAGGACTAAGGCCTTGAGCACGAAGTTTCTGGGGGAATCTGTTCCTACCTCAGGTTCCAGCGGGTCTGCTCCCATGGTCCCGCGGCCCCTCGCATTTGGTTGGTGTGTCGGAAGGGAGTGTCTGCCAGCGGTCCGGAGGCCCATAGCTCCAGGCGGGGATTTTCCCGGGAGCAGGCAGCCCGGTCCCACCACAGCCCGGTCCCACAACTGCGTTATCGGGGTGGCAGACGCCACGCCCACGGGCTGTGATCGCCTCGACACTCATGTGGACCTTTTCCATGGGGGAAATGGACCCCCCAGTCCTGCCTCCCTCTAGTTCCAGCCGACGCCCCAGGCTCCCCCTGAAACCTCCAGCCACTGACTGTACTCAACCCGGGCGTCCCAACTGAGATCCTGGCCCCTGGCCCCTTCACATCCCCCGCCTTTCCAGCTTCTCCCACTTAATCTTCGGTTCCCAACTTCTCAGCTCTGGCACCTCGACCCTGGCCCTCTCAGGAGACCCCCTGAAATCCTGCCCCCATCCCCACCCCATGGCTTCCAGCCCCGGTCGGGGTCCCGCTCCATCCCTGCCTCCTGCAGCCCCCAGCCCCGGGAGCCGTCAGCCCCTGCCTCCAGTGCCACCCACCCCCAACCTTGGATCCTTTTGGATTCTTTGGCCCCCTCTGCGGATCTCGCCCTGGCCCCTGTTCCCCGCCCCGGTCCCTCACCGGCATAAAAGGCCGAGACGGCCACGGGCCCGCCGATCGCCTGGTCGCACAGCACCTTGGCCAGCACGGTGCGCGGCGCACGGCCGGGCAGCGCGCGCTCCAGCAGACGCAGCCACACGTAGTTGAAGTTGGCGTGGAAGGTCACGGCCACGGTGGCCACGCGCCGCGTCTGCTGCCAGTCCGCCGGACCGCCCCGCAGTCGCTGCTGCAGCGCGTCGCCGGCGGAGAAGAGCGCCGCGTAGAGCAGCACGTTCGTGGGCCACGGGTAGCGCCGGGCCGCGCGCAGCAGCGCCGGCCACCAGCCCGCCATGCCCGCGCGGGGGGCGCCCACCACCGACCGCGGCGCCCGCTCCCCGGGCCACGCCCTCCCGCCAGCCCTGCCCTCCGCGCCGCCTCCGCCACCTGCACCTGTCTTCCCAGATGCTCCGGAGCCATTGGGTGCCCCGCGCACACCCAGTCCGCGCCGTCCAATCCCCTGGCCACTAGCCATTGTGGGGCTGAGCCTTTGAAATGTGGCCGGTCCACGGAATGCATGATCCATTTCCATGAAAAGTCCAGAATAGGCTAATGCATAGCGACAGAAAGTAGACTAGTGGTTGTCAGAGACTGGGCGTTGGGGGAGGGGAGGGATGCGAAGTGACTGGGCGTGCGGTTCTTTGGGTGGTGAATTCTATGGTATGTGAATTATATCTCAAAAAGAAAAAAAATAGGTTGGTAGAGATAGGAAGAAAAGGAAAGAGGAAAGAAGGAATACCAAATTCCAGTTACCGAGAGGGCGGTGTATGTTAAATGTTTATATGCAAGGAATTCACCCTTCCAACGCGCACAATACGCTGTTATGTCACTTAGGAGACAAATCCAGAAGTTGAAATGTGAAGCCTTTCGTAAATGGGAAGTGAGGCTGGAGGGACCTCACTGAATATTGTGCCGCAAAACATGCTGAGCTCCCAAGCAGTGTCCCAGAAGCAGGGGGTCACTGGGGACCTCAGCCACAGGTACCATCTCTGACCCCAAGGAACTCAGCCCTCCTTGCTTCTTTTCCTCCTTCTCTGACACATCCAAACCTATTCTCATTCTCCCTCTTCTATTCATTTACCCTATTTTATTTCCTTTTAATTCTTTTAAAAATTTGTTTTGTTTGAGAGAGAGCGCGCACGCACGTGCGAATGGGGGGGAGGGGCAGAGGGAGAGGGAAAGGATGAGGCGCCCCTCATTTTAATTTGTTTTGATTTTAAATTTTCATCTCGAAATGATTCCAGACTTAGAAAAAAGTTACAAAAATAGTACAGAGTTCCCATATAGGCATCACCCAAGCTTCCCCAAATACTGACATCTTGCATAACCGTAGTACCATGATCAAAACCAGAAAATTATCACTCATGTAATACTGTTACCTAATCTACAGACCTTGTTCAAATTATTGCCAGTTGTCCCACTGAAGTCCTTTTTTAGGTCTGGTATCCAACCCCAGATTACTTTGCATTGCGCTGAATTGTTACGTATCTATCACCTTAGTCTCCACTCTGGGGGATTGACCAGTTATTTTGCACACTTCCTCCATTTGTCTACCTTATTGTTATGGGCTGATTGGGTCCCTCCCAAAATTTGTATGTGGGAGCCCTAACCCCCAGTATCTCAGAATGTGATTGTTTTGGAGACAGAGCTTTTAAAAGAGGTAACTGAGTGAAAAATGAGGCCCTCAGAATGGGACCCCAATCCAATCTGGTTGGTGTCCTGATCAGAAGAGGAAATTTGGACACAAAGAGGCACGAGGGCAGTGCATGCACAGAAGAAAGACAGTGTGGGGACCCAGTGAAAGAAGGAAGCCACCTGCAAGCCAAGGAGAAAAGCCTCTGGAGAAACCAGCCCGGCTGACCCCTTGACCTTGGACTTCTGGCCTCCTGAACTGTGAGAAAAATAAACTTATTTTTTAACCCACCTGCTCTGTGGTATTTTGTTCTGGCAGCCCTCGCTGACTAATACACCCATTCTCTTCAATTCTTGGGAATCTGCCAGTTTCTGTGTTCTTTGACACAAAGTCAGCAGCCAGGCATCCCCCACCCCTTCTGTTGTCGCACAGTCATTTCCAACTCTGACCCACCTGTCTCCCTCTTAGAAGGACCCTTGTGATTACATTCAGCCCATCTGGATAATCCAGAATAATCTCCATATCTCAAGATCCTTACCTTGAGGGTCATCTACAAACTCCCTTTTGCCATATAAGATAATGTATTCTCAGGTTCTGGGGATTCAGGCGTGGACATCTTTGGAGGGCCATTATTCAGCCTACTGCATCCCACTTTATCATATCTACCTTCTCTGTAACCCTTCTGATCTCATTGATTGTGTTAGCTGAAATGAAACTGCCCATTTCTCAATGTGTATAGATTAGGACTATCTGTTGATCCAATTCTTTTTCATTCATTCACTCAATAGATCAATATTCTTGAGCACTAGGATATGCCAAGCACTAACCTATATGCTTGTGGCAAGAATTTGTATTCACAATGCCTTTTTTAAAAATCTCATTGCTGTCTAGAGGAAATTGTGGCCTTCATTATGAAAAAAGAAAAATTCCCAGATGATTCCTACACCATCCCCTTGACCAAATTTGTTAGAGAGAATAATAGAGCAAAATTGGAGACCAGAAGCAGGCAAGTGGGGGTGGGGAGGGATTAGGGTAGTGTCCAGGTGAAATACGGGATGTCCAGTTAACTTTGAAATTTCAGATGACAATGCATAACTTTTTTAGTGTAAGTATGTCCCATGCAATATTTGGGACAGACTTATACTAAAAAATTTTCACTGCTCATCTGAAATTCAAAGTTGACAGAGCAGTCTCTATTTTTTTTAATTTATTTTGCTAAATCTGGCACCCCTGAAGGGTGGTGCTGACAATCACTAAGAGCCCACTACATGTGTCTGTTACCTACGAGGCACCCAACGCATTAACTCATTTACTCCTAGAAACCCAGCGAGGGAGGAAATTGCCAACAATCTGCAGGGACATATATCCTCCAAAATCTATGGTGATCTTTATCAAGCAGCTCAACATATTTGCTTAATGGGAGTTGAAAAAAAGATAAGTAAATACTAAGAAGGCTGAGATGGTTTTACATGGGTTGCTATATACTTGTCTCTTATTAAAAACAATAAAAAAATCCGGTTATTAAGGACAAACTATTACTCAAGCAAATGCTGAAGGACCTGCATAACCTTCAAACAAGAGGAGATGCTCTAAGATAGATTAATTCATTACATCAATGCTTCATCATCTGTGCAAGCTGTGATTCGGAGCCCTCCAGCAATAATGAGGCAACACATTCCATGTGACACTAATATCTCTGAACAGTGGGGGATAGCTGGAGAACACAGTGCCACAGCGCCGTGTTCAAATGTAAAAGAGGCATTTTGTGAGGAAGGCTTTCAGCAGGGAATAAGCACTATTGTGGGAACTGAGTTTCAGTGTACACCTAAGGATCACATTAAAAATACATTAGGATGGTTACAATGAAGCTTATTGTAACAGTGATTATTTCATTTTATTTAAATGAACCGGGACTTCATAAGAACCACCCCGTGGGCTACAGTGTCTAAAATCTTCTATCTCCTCTTGAAGATTTCTCTGAAATTTCTACTGACAAATGGAAGGCTTCTATGCTTAAAAGCCTGCAAGACAAAGAGCAGAGGAAGCAATCAATTAAGGCTACACCTAAAAAAAAAAAAAAAAAAAAGGAGGGTCGCCTGGATGGCTCAGTCGGTTAATCGTCTACCTTCAGCTCAGGTCATGATCTCAGGGTCCTGGGATGGAGCCCCTTGTCGGGCTCCCTGCTCTGCGGGGAGTCTGCTTCTCCCTCTCCCTCTGCTCCGTCCCCTGCTCATACTCTCTCTTTCTCTCAAATAAATAAACAAAATCTATTTAAAAAAAAAGTCATTGAAGCTCCTCAAACCCTATCAAGATCACCTCTAAGACATCACTAGTTTCTGGGTATGGGCACAGAGCAGGAAACCATCTTGAGGCTCACGGGAGGCTGACAAGGAAACTGTGGAAACCTCCCTCTTCCCTTCAGCTCACCCACTCCTTCATTCCAGAACCCTTTCTCTGGAATTTCTCCAGCAGGGATCCAAATGGAAGAGGGTGTGTTGACTTGAAGCTGGGTGTGCCCAGGAGGCACCTGGTCTTTGCTTAGTGTAGCTACAGATGAATTAAAAGAGCTATGCTTTATGCAAATTATACTACACTAATTACTACTACTCTCACCCCACCCCTTATTTGCACTTTCAGGGACCAGAGATCACCAACCACAGTCAGGCAGCAGATGATCCACCTTGTGACAAATCATCAGAGGGTCAATAGTAGCCTAACCTTACGTCAGAGTGCCTATGTCATTCACCTCACTTCATCTCATTTTGCAGGCATTTTATCAGCTCATGTCATCACCAGAAGGGTGAGTACCGGACAGTAAGATATTTTGAGAGACCACATTCATGTAACATTTATTACAGATTTATAAATTAAGCTTTATCATAGGTATGTACGTATAGGAAAAAACATAGCATATATGTTTTCAGTACTGTCTGAGGGTTCCAGCATCCACCGGAGGGTCTTGGGATGCATTCCCCCGGGGATAATAGGTGGGAGGGGCTGCTGTATGACTTTCTTTTTTTTTTTTTAAGATTTTATTTATTTATTTGAGAGAGAGAGAACGAGAGGTAGAGAGCACAAGAGGGAAGAGGGTCAGAGGAAGAAGCAGACTCCCCGTCGAGCAGGGAGCCTGATGTGGGACTCGATTCCGGGACTCCAGGATCATGACCTGAGCCGAAGGCAGTCGCTTAACCTACTGAGCCACCCAGGTGCCCTGTATGACTTTCTTTTTAAAAGTTATTTTTGGGGTGCCTGGGTGGCTCAGTGGGTTAAGCATCTGCCTTTGGCTCAGGTCATGATCCTGGGGTCCTGGGATTGAGCCCCAAGTCCAGCTCCCTGCTCAGTGGAGAGTCTGCTTCTCCTTCTACCCTTTCCCCTGCTCGTGCTCTCGCTGTCTCTCGAATAAATACATAAAATCTTTTTTTAAAAGTTATTTTTATTTGGATGAGTGAATTAAAAAGTTATTTTTATTTAGATGGGATTGAAATTATGGAGGTAAGAGTAAGAACCACCACCACTGCTTATTCCCTGTCTGAACGTGCACTGAGAGATAAAGGACAGGCACTCTAGCTGGAAAAGGTCAGAAGGGAGATTAGAGGGAAGAAGCGATAAACCTGCTTCCCACCAGAATCTCAGTTTCTCCTGTTAGCAGAAACAATATTAAG